TCCTTGAAATTTTTGTCTAGATTTGTTCACTGTTTTTGAAATTAATTTTTTTGGTGAAATACAGCTGTGGCATTGCCACCTAGTGGTATTAACCTTACTATTAAGCTGTGTAGTTTTTAATGTTAATACCTAGTAAAAGTTTCACTGTGGATTTGAGTGTGAATCCTGTGACTTTCTCCAGCTTCAGAGTCTGCTCTTTTGTTTACCAGTGTTTGCTCTTCTCTGAAACCTGTCACCTGGTGGGTTAACTTTCTGTTTTGGATTGTTCTTTCCTTAATTACAAAAGCTGCCAGTTACCAAAGACTGCTGTTTTGTGTTCTAAGCACTCTACTTGTATTATTTAATCTTCTAATTATGAATTAGATGAAACTGTTGATACTCGTCTTGTATTCTTAATTGCTGTAGGTCACTTGGCTACAAATAAGAATTTAAAGCCAGGTAGTATTTGACTCTAAAGCCTGTGCTTCTGTTATCCGTGCTAAGTTGACCTCTTTCTTTTTCCCAGTCCTTAGCATTTATTTTTTGCCACATGCCTCCACCACTTGCCACAAGTATCTCAATTTACTTGTCTCAGCCCATGTGTGGCAGCTGTTGCTTTTTCCTTTACACTTTCGAAAAATTAGTCTTCCTTCTCTACTCTAATTTCTACTTTTTTCTTTTGGTACTAGAGATTGGACTCATGGGCTTATACATGCTACTAAGTGCTTTACAGCCGACCTGTATCCCCAGCTTTATTACTCATTCACTCACTTATTCATGTATGTGTGTATGTATGTATTTATGAGACCTGGTCTTGCTAAATTCCCCAGGCTGGCCTTGAACTAACAAGGTAGCTACAGGTGCGCACCATTGTACCCTGGGATTGCAGGTGTGTATCGTACTGTGTTTCTATTACCTTTCCTTTTATATATATATCAACCACTTAATGGAATTTGAAACTGGGATTATCTGTTTTCTGATTTCTAGTTAGCAATGCTCAGTCAGAATCTTTTCGCACTTCAATTTTAAACCCAGTATTGGGAAAATAAATTCATGTTAATATTTCTCTCAAGTTAACAAGGCAGTCTTGAAGAAAAAGTTGGATGTAGCACAGTGCAGTGGACCCTTCACTTACGAACTTGGATTGGTTTCCATGGGAGCATTGGTTATAAGTCAATACAGCTGAGATCTGGATGGTTCCCTGGGTACGCACTATAGAAAACAAGAAGCAGATGAATCTTCCATTAACCTAATTAGCCCAAGTTGTTTGTATGCCAAGTTCGTTGTAACTTGAAGGTCCACTGTACCAATAAGGGAGATTTGCCAGGCTAAAGATACTGAAAAGCTGTGCTATTAAAAGCACATGAATACAAATGTGGTTGGATCCAATGATCGAGAGATCCAAGGGGTAAAAAAAAAAAAAGAAGCCTCAAATGGGACAATATGGGGAAAAGAGTGGATATTCCAGTAGAAGAGGGGGAGGTTAGAGGAGAAGGAAAGTAAGGAGAAAGTGGTCTATACTGAGGTGTACTTTTTAATAGTATGCATTTTACATCTTACCCCAAGTTTACAGTGCTTGCTGTTTAATCCTAGGTATGTTCTGTAATTCTTGCTTTCACCTTTTCTCACCTATGTAATGCTAAGCCAGTACCAGGTTAAATGTGCTTGTTTTTGTTTTTTTGGTACCTGTGATGGAACTCGGGTCCTTGCACTTGCACAGCAGGCGGCGAAACCACTGAGCTAAATCCCCAGCCCAGGTTAAATGTGCTTGATCACTTGCAGATGACAGTGAAAGCTGTTTGGATACTGCTTCCAAAGTCATAAATCCTTAGTTCTTAGTTCCCATTCTGTCCATGCCTCACCCAAGGTGTTGTTGGCTTTTTTCCATTAAAAGATTGGTTATAGACACTTGTTTTCTGACCAGTCTTGCCAGATGTTTTCTCATTGAGATGTCTTGATGCAATACTTTCAGAAAGTCAACTGTACATTTAGTAGCCAAGAATTCCATGAGACTGGATTTACTTGGAATTGATATGAGAAATTATCGTTGCTTTTTTTTTTCTGAGAGAATTAAGCTTTGGTGGGAAACTGGGGGAATGGTGTTAAGAGAAGTTGAATACTTTATCATGCTTAAATTCAATCAGTCAAAATTTCATTGAGTTTTACAATATGCCTAAAACTGTGCTGGGTGTGGTGGGCTTAGGAAAATGTAAAAGTCAGGGAAGAGAGGTTACTGGCTTTGAGAATCTTGAAATCAAGGAACGAAAGTAACACATGTTTGCAAGAAACGGGGAGGGAGCCCTAAGCCATCTACTTCTAAACTCATGTGAAATAGCCGATGTAATGTCATATAAACTATATAAGGAAAGCAGATGTATTTTGTTTAGTTATTCCTTTACTTGCCTCTCTTCTCTATCTTTGCATTTTAAGCTTTGTGTTATTGTTTTTTTGCAGCTCCTTGGTCGTTTCATCCATTTCCATTTACAGTATGGGATCCCTTCACTCTGTCTTCAGAAGCCCAGATTTATGTCATTAATTGGAAAGAGGATTTAAGTCTGAAAGAGAAATTACAATTGTTGCTTTGTTTCCCATCCATTGCAAACTGTCTGTTAGCATCCTCCTAATTTCAGAACTATTCCTTAGATGAGTTGAGGGTTCAAAAATTACTTAACTGATTACCCAAATGGAGCCAAGCTACCTTGTTTTAAAGTTGCAAAATCGATATTACTTTTTAATCTATATCATCTGTTTCTTGTTTTGGCTTTCCTGGTATATACAAGTACCTTTGCCTCTGACCTTTCTTTCCCACAGGCAGTAACAGTGGGGTTTTTTTGGGGTTTTTTTTTTTTTTGGTATTTTTGTTGCTACTTGATTATCATTTTTTTTTTTGAACTCACTAGGTACCCCAGGCTGGCCCCAAACAGCAATCCTTCTGCCTCAGCCTTCCAGGTGCTGACTTTATAGGCCTGTGCCTCACCACACCAGGCATTCTTGTTACTACTTGAATACCACAATTTAGTTTGTTATGTTTCAGCCTTTAACTTTTAAAAATCACCATTCAAACTTAAGACCAACTACATTCCTTAGAAACGTACTCTTAACATGTTTTCCCTATTTAAGACAGTGACAACTTTACATTTTTACCTAGTCTTATACAGTCCTTGCAATTAGAAATTGGGGATGGAAAAACAAAGATTAGCATTTGTTTCACTTCATGTGAAAATGTCCTTAGACCCCCAGATTTTGTAAGAATTATACTACAAGGTGATCTTTTTTGTGATCGTGTCTCACTGTAAGCATCTAGAGATCAAAGACCATGCCCTCAATTCTTTGGAGAGCAATGAATATGTTCCTAGCAACTGTATAGTATGTTTAAGGGATGTTATAGGCTAGTGGTAGCAAACCTACAGCATACATGCTGCAGCAGGCTGTAATCAAAAACTCTAAAATGTCCACCATCGCTGTTCTAGGCTACGTGTGGCATACATAGCTAAGAGTCTCTGTATTTAGGAGTGTATTGGTAGAAACGTGGTGGAAGGATATGGAGCAAAGCTGCTTAAATTATGAGACCAAGAAGCAGAGTGGATTGGAAATATGAGCCAGAGAGAAAGGGGTCAGGGACCAGAAATAGACCTCAAGGTCATGCCTCCATGACCCACCCGGACACACTCAGAAGCCCACAGATTTCTGCTTTACTAGGTGGCCCCCAAGCCAATCAAACTGACAATTAAGCTTAAGTGTCAAAGAGATTTACAGTGGAGAGTGAGATAAATTTGTAAAAATCATAAAATGAATTGTTTCTTGCTGAAGGAGTACAAATAAAAGGCTTACTAATTCTGATATGGTTGAAATATAATTCTGATGTAAGAAGTGAAGGTGGTAACAATTGAGTTGGCCTTGAAAACTGCTATTTTCATGATACATTATGGTTCTCAAAACATTTTTATAGATATTAGCTATGTCCAAGGGAAAAAAAGATAAATATGGTTGGAGAAATAAAATCTTTAATCTTACCTGTGGAGATGAATCTCTGTAAGTCTGTATTTTCAGACATAACTTCCTACTGTTTATAGTCAAGGGGAATTATTTTTTAAACGTAAGAAGCCCTCAAATTTCTGGATTTTCTCTAGGCTCTTTTTATTTCTGCTTGTAGCTAATTTCTGCTCTTACCCACTGTGTGTGTGTGTCATTGGTAAACTCAGCAAAGAACTAACATTACTTTTCTACCTCTTACAGGCTACTCCCCTAGAGCAGAGCTGCTTAACCTCAGATTGTTATTCAAATAACTCTTTAAGGGAGGCTTTACTGTGTGCTGGACCCACTTCTTGTGCCAGTTCTGACAATCAACAGTATTTCCAGATACTGACAGTGTCACCCATTGGTCAAAATTTTCTCTAGATGAGAATGATTACTTTAGAACTACAAGTTAGAAAATAAGATTTATGAAATGTTTTACTGCTATTCTATCTTCCCCATATCTGGTA